TAACATCTAGTGTAGAACTTAGTAATAAGCAGACTACTTAAATAGGCAATCAAAAGTTATACGTATAGCTAATATGTATTTTCCAAAAATATGTATGCTGTATAGGTGCCAAGAGGGGTTTAGCGTATAGTAAAAGTTAATCAATAACTGAATAAAGAAACCTGACCAAGAGGTCACCTTAACACCAAAAAAAAAAAAAAACTAATTAACCAGATAAGGCAGAGTACTAGCAAGTTACTCTACCAACCAGACTGCCAAAGCTTACCTGGGCTCTAGAGAAAAAAATTTAATTTGTAAAATAATTAAGACTATGGGACTAGAGTATTTTCTCTAGACTATTTGAATTAAAAGTCTGAGAAGACAGGCTAGAGGATATAAATAGATAAAGTTCTGAATATCAGGAAGTTTGATAGAAAGGTACTGAGTTTGGGTAAACTTTACAAAGACAAAAGACTAAAAACAAGTTTAGCCAAATTGTAGATATGAAAAGTTCTAGCAGGTTTACCCTGAGAATAAAATTGTTCTAAGATTGTAATGAATATTGGTTTGAGATTATGTATATAGAAATATATATATAATTGATACAAAACTAATACTGTAAAAGTAATTTGTTAAATATAAATAAAAGTACTAACTAAAGAAGTCACCTTAATACTAAAAATATATATATATATACATCTACTATTATATTATTTTTTTTATTATTAGCTATTTTGTTTTTATTAGCTTTGCTACTTTTATTATTTGTATTATCTTTATCAGCCATGTTTCTCTATTGGCTATATCTTTTCTATTGGCTATATCACTTCTTTAAATCTTGAAAAAACATTTATTTTTAGATTTTTTCTCTAAAATTTGGTTTTTTTTTTAAAGTTAATATTAGTTTTTTTGATATTAAATTTTTGAGACTAGTATTAGTTTTTTGAAAACTTATATTTATAATACTGTATTATATAATACCTAGTCACGTGAATATAATATACTACTAAAATTAACTAAAGTATATAATAATCTAATATAATATAATATAGATTTAGTATATTGATCTACATAATACATAAATTATAATTTTATTGGCTCAAAAAATTGCTTTTTTGGTCTTGCTTTTAAAATTAAAAAAAAAAATCAATTTTTTTTCAATCTGTTTTACTATATATTTGAATAACTACCTTTAACCCTAATAAGATACCATGTATATATAGTACTGATAGTATATACTGTATGATAAAATATTATATATTACTACTTAACCCTAATCTGAATTCCAAAATAATCGAATCTAACTCTAATCTTAATACAATCGAACTTTAATATACTCGAATCTTAACATAATTGAACTTTGTGCAATCAAATTCTATGTAATATAATCAAACCTTAAATAATATAAAATATATATAAATATTTAATAGTTCTGTTTATTTAATATTATACAATACCAAATAAGCATATAAATATAACATAAAGGCAAAACAAATATGCATATGGAACATAAGTTATATACAAGAACAAACAAATATATACAATATTGGTTCCTTATAGTAAATATATATATACATATATATAATATTAAAGCTGTATATATAATGATAAAACATTAACCATATACTTCATAAGCAACAAAATAATTTAGGTTGATAATTTTAACATATACAAATCACAGCTATTTAAAAATGAACAATATCATAAAATAATTATCTAAAGGTGTGAATATACAGTTGAATCTTAATTAATATATCTACACCTCTTCTAATACCTTAATAAAAAAAGCTTATCTCGTCTAAAAAATATATAAAAATTAAGTATTATTCACAATTATATACAAGTAAAATTAAAATCATATTAATTTAAAAATATCTATATACTACTGTATCATATTTTTTTAGATTGTTTTTGTAGACATGTGCTTTTATAATGATTAGACTCATAACAAATTCTATAAACTCTTGGTTTTGAGCTTGATTTTGTTTTCTCTTGATATTTTTCTTGTATATCTTTAATATACTTTTTTTGTGAAGCATCTTTACTAATATAATATGCAGGATCTGCTATGTTTTTGATAAAAACTATTCATTTATGATCAATTTATATAGATGAAATATCTCTTGAATTCTAATACTCTTTAAGAATTCAAAGTTCTCTTCTCTGTATTTCTTTCTCATACTCAAGTTTTTTCTTTTCAATATAATTTTTCAAGAAAACTTCTAATTCATGATTATTTTTATTGTTATCTTGTAAATTAATTACCTATTTTGCAAGACTCATAGTTCTAGTAAATTAAAGCTTTTTTTCTATATAATTTTGAGTTTTATTTTCTTAAATATTATTAAATCGAAGCAAGTTCATATTTGTTGTGGTGATTAATGGGTACATAATTAAGACTAATTCAGTATTGTAGCTTGCTATTAAAAATGGTTTTTGTGTATATTGTGATTTTATTACTTCATCTTTGCACTATCATATAGGTAACAACATTATATGAAACCTTGCAAATTTTGACTCAAGTAATATACAAAAAAAATACTGATATACAATTCTGTGAGTAACTAGTAAAAGACAAGTACATAAATAATATCTATCTTTAAACAATATAACATAGTGAATTGACTTAGCAGAAGTTAAATATGAAATTTTCAAATTTCTTGAATAGATAAATGTTTATTTTCAATGATCAAAGTTGATAAATATGATAGTAAAACATCATATATATTTTCAATAAAATCTTTATTAAAATCTTTATTATATACAAGTTCTTGTGAATTTAATGAAGTATCAACTTCCCACAGCTATAAAAAACAGAAATTAGTACTGTTATAAAATAAAATAATAGTATATTATATAAAATATTATTATAGTCAAATATAAATATAACCAAAGTAATATATACTTACTTGTTCATAAAGTTAATTTCACTAAGTAAAAATATTTGAGCCTGGTATATAGTAGATTAAATAATTTTTTTATATTGTTTAGCTACTAATTTCGATATTAAGTATCTGTCAATTTGTTTAACAATTTGAGAAAATACTTGTTGCAATATAATACTCTGGTTGTAATTAATTCAATCTTAAGACCATGTAATAAATTGTTAATTAAGAGTTTCATATTCAATATGTTAATAAATTGCCTCTATAACTTGTAGTAAAGTAAATGAGCTATTTATAGCAGTTTTGATATAATTATTAAGCCTTTTGACTCTTTAAATCAACCACATAATACCAGTATCTTGAAACTTTGATATTCATTTATTCTTGATTCAAAAAAAGTATTAGCAATTCTTTTTCACTCTATGAAATTTGCAAAACCTGTAAAACCCATGAAAGTACTATTAACAGACAAAAATTCACAAACCAAGGTGTAATGCAAGTATGTTAAAAACTATACTTTTAAGTAAACACATATTTCTATAGTATTAGTCCAGTAATTTGATCTGGTAAAAGTATTGTATGATTCTTTTTTCATACTGATAAGATAAACAATATTACAATTACCTGATGTTTTTTTTTTGCAAACCAATATTATGGTGTTTAGAAATAATATGCCTGTAATAATTAATAAATTAGAACTAAAGTTTAGTATACTAATTTATTTTTTTTTAAATCTCTTTTTGCTTTCTTAATCACTTTTAATTTCAAGTAATATCTTTTATAGCACTATAGAGTCTCAAATCTTAGATTTAGAACCTTATAAATTGTCTGAAAATTTATATAAACAAGTTAATAGAACTCATAAAAGGTAGTATATGACTGAAATTTCTAGACCATTGCCAATAGAGTTTCAAATCTTAGATTTAGAAACTCATAAATTGTTTAAAAATTTATATAAACAAAACAATAGAACTTATAAAGAGCAGCATATGACTAAAATTTCTGGACCATTGCTACACATTAATAACCAAATTATATTTTTTATTAATGATATATTCTCTAGCTGGCCAATTGCAAAGTATTATGTCACAGAATATAGTCATCAAAAAGGATTTGTTCTAATTAAAATACACAATAAAACAGATAATAATAATCATTTAACAAATTTATACTACAAATATAAATTTGGTGGTACTTGTCAAACAAAAAAAATCATAATCCTACAAAATCAATGTAACAAAAGCACAAAAAAAGTTAATTGTAATTGGAAACTTAATCTGTTATCAGTAATAAATTTTATTCATATTACTAGTTTATATGATCATCATGTTGAATACCAGCTTTTACTAGATACCAAGATTTTTGCTCTTATTAACTGTCAGTTTTCTGATAAGTGTTGTGAGAATATTTGTTATTTAGTAGTTAATAGTCGATGTGATTTATTAACAATAAGGTCTCTTTTATTAGCCAAATATCCTAATCAACCTTTTTTTACAAGAGAACTTGCTAATATTGTGGCTTAATTTCAGCAAGAATATTGTATAAAAGGAAATGATATATCTTTACTTTTAACATAGCTTTATAAATTCAAAGAAATAGATCCTAATTAGTACATTAAACTCTTAATTAATTCTATCAGCAACTAATTTTGCAAAATTTTCTGAATAGATTTAGGCTAGCAAGAAAGATAGATCTGGTTTTGTGATGTGATTATTCAGAACAACACAACACAAA